CTAACTAATAATAAAAACACAATGTAATCAAAGCACTGAATGTACTGATGGGGAGGCTATGACAGAATGTTTCAGACTTATAGTTTCTTTTCTTTTTGCTTAAAATGTGCTGTTAAATAAGAAGATATGCACATTGCGTCATTTATCGTTCAACCATTAATAAATATGGTTAATATGGTTGACTATTCATTTGTTAATATTCCAGAACATTTCATTGAGTCTACATTCGGACTGTTAATCATGCAAATTTGAAAAATACTAAAATCCATTTATAAATGACATTACCAGCAGTATGACGACTGTTCATTATAAGATCATAATACCCATTTTACAACTGACGGTTCCTTATCAAAAATTCTAGGACTGTTCATCATAAATACTTTATGTCATTTTAATATCATTGAATGATAATAACATCTGCAAGTTAAAGCAAAATTTATTTGAACATAAAAATTAAACATATTTACATGTACCATAATTGAGATCAATAAGACACTGTCTTGTGAGATATTAATATTCATGCTCTACGACAGAAAGAAGTTGTCTTCTCCGAAGCAAATCTCGAATAAAAAATCACTGTTTAAGAAAATATTCCCATTTCATTACTCGTCGCTGACTTTGACGGCTTCGGATAATATTAAGGCTAAATATTTCTTGAAAAAAATACATATCTGCAAAGCTTATTCAAAATTGAATCAACCTAAGTGAAAATTGATCAGGAAGTTATATCTTCTTTTTTTACCGCAACACTCAACCAACTTAGGTAGTTAATCCTCAACTAGCTTGAAATATATACTGCGAAAATCTGTTGTTAAACAGGTGTTGTACGGTTATTACGTTGGGTTTTCCTTGTCGACCATTTCCCGCAAATAGATGAGAACATCGAAGCGTCAGTGCTATGAATGGTGTTATAAATAGCGTGTTTTGGAAGCGTTTTTGTTGAAACTTCTCCAAAAATCCCTCCAGAGGTATGCACGTCGCGGAGAAGGCACACGGCAGGTCATGGTCAAGTCATCTCAAGTACCAGAGGTGATTGGTTGATCTGTCGTAACTTACTCTGGAGGTTTGGCGCTAATGAATGCCGTTTTTGTTGTCGTCAGTCTGGAAGTTGATGCCTTGACAGTACTGTCGTCTCCTTTACCACTAACGAACGAAGAATGGGCTACCAGGAAGATTCTGCTTAAAAAAGACGTCCCCGATGCTATAATCTCGGACATATGGTTATTCCGGCGCCGAGAATAAATGAACTTAAAACACACACACTTTTGTTGAAAACAAAAAAAAAACAAACATATTTTCTGTAGTAATTTTTCAAGTGTTGTAAAATGAAAACGAAATTCGTCTTATGCCGCTAATTATTTTTAGAACACAAACATATAAGTTCTTTTTATTCGATTTATTCAAATAAACATTAATCACTTCAGCGCGCGCAAATATCGTTTTCAAATTAAAATTTCGTAAGATATGTTGATGAATTTCCGATGCTCGACTGTAAGTCATTCGTATATATATGCGTTTTTTTGTTGTTGTTTTTTTTTTTTGTTTTTCAAAGCTTCTTATTCTTTAATATTTTTATGTATCTCATAATCTGTATTGAAAATTTTATTACACATGGACTATCAAATTATGATTCGTTGCCCTAGAATTGAATAAACTTTCTAATTACACAATACGGAGTCATTCATTTGATTGAATACTGATCTTTGCGTCTTTCTCTGAAATAATTATTTCCTTGTTAAAACATATTTGGCCACATATTTCTGTCATTTAACTGTTCACTTTACATCCGATTTTTGTTGTACGGAAACACATGTTTCTATTTGTGTTTTCTAATCAATTCGAATCTATAATCAGTTTAATGGGATCACCACCGGGTAAACGACTACTAGGTACTTTGGTCATGTTTTTTACCCCAAATATTTGAATGTTTCTATTGGGATTAAAATGAGCGTAGATAACTAAACAACTGGTTGTATAAATCCCTGACCTGTCTAATTCTAATTATGAGATTAGTGGATATATTAAGACTTTCACTACAAAATATTCCTAAACAAAAGAGCACATGTTTAAAGTTATTCCTTTACAAATAAAAGATCAGAGTAGGGATCTGTCAATTGCCAGACATATTTTTAAAAGATACTTTTATGTTAAAAGTTTGATTAATGAATTATGTAAGATGAAAATATAAGTATTGCTTTTTTTATTTTGCTAATATTAAATGTAATCTTGTGGTGAAATTTTGTAGGAGGGTCCTTACGGATTTTGTAGTTAAATAGTTTTTTTTCGGCGATACATGGTTTAAGAATTTAATGTTTTCAAACTATATGTTCATCACCATTAGTGAATTTTTAGTTAATTGTATGCAAAATATTTACTAACAGCTATATGAATATAGCGGTTTATGAGGTTTCGCGTACAACTCCTAAGGGGTTTTAATAAGTTTTTTTCCTTAGTTATCACGCAAGCATATCCATGTTTTAAAGTGCGGGAAATTTACCTTTTTTTTTTTAAGAAATATTAAGGGCTTTTAAAGGTTTTTTAAAAACCCAAAAGAAAATGCATGTATTGGACTCGGTGTTGGGAAAGTTCTAGTTAAGACCGTCATAAAGTTTGGGCGCTGCGTTAATTGGAAAATTTTTTTCAAAATAATAAAAAAATTTTTCCATAAAAAAGATTTACCTATAAAAATTTTTTTTTATCTTTTTTTTAAAAAAAAAATTGATAAAGTTATTATATAGAAGGGGTTTTTATACCAGAATTTATTACCAACGACGTTGCCTAAACCTGATAGCGGCAGTTAAAATCAGGGTAGTGAAAATTTTAAAAAAATCAAAAAAAAATCAAGAATTTTTCAGAGAATTATTATCTTTACAAATTGCAGATATGAAATAAAAGAATGAAAATATTTTCATATTGTAAATGTCTGTGATGAGTGATGAGTCAGCTTAGAAAAAATCAAGGTACTATTTTTGACCTGATTACCGCGGCAGTAAGATTTGACGGATGGTATTAACATCGGGGAGGCATAGCCTCCCCAAAAACGGAATAACATTATTTTCTGCAAGTCTATACAATTTAATGGCGATATATACAAGCACGTTTTCCTACCAATCACTGTATCATTTATTGCAAGCTTGCACAATTCAACTTTTATGACAGGAAGTAGATGTGCTTCTACACAGTGAAAATCTCGATGACGTCTGGTTATAAATAAATTAGCTTTCTAATTGGCAACTGATTAATAAATGATTCTAAAAGAACATAATTATATACAGGCCCCAACAACAAAGTATCTGTATTCAATCACTAAACCCGCTATGCCTGCTGGAACCGAATGTGATTAGCCTTGTGCAAGGCCAGCCTGCACATTCGTGCAAATAGAAGGCCTCGCTCATTATTTCGATTTAAATATTTAAATCCCTTAAACTTTGAATGGAGTGTTCCAAATCCAAAGCTGGACAATCCCATAGTAGAAATATAGGAGGTTAACGGTTAATGTTCTTATGTTTTGATACTTTTAACTCTAATATAAAAGAAGTAAAATTGTTAATTCTTTTTTTTTTGTTGATGAATCTAATTATTTCAGTGTTAGTACATTATACATTTACTTACTTCTGCTCTTATTTGGAAATTGCTGTGACCCTGGTGAGTACAACAAATCTCGTTCAGCAAAGAAAAGTGATTTTTATCTTTATCTTGAAACACGGTTGCTATAAATTTCAAGAGTTCAGATAAGGTGAACTATATATAAAGGAATATTATAATAAACAAGAACTGCTCTTTGGCTGATCTTTAAAAAAAATACTAATTTTAAGTTAATTTTAATCAAATAAGGAAAATGGCTTGTAAGTACAGTTTTCGAGATTTCATTCTTTAATTGTAATGTTTTTTTTTTTAACTCGATGCACCTTTAAAATATTCAAACTACCGTTAATTATTATAAAGTCGACATTAAATGAGATTTTGCGTGAAAATATCACTTTTATTTATCTTAATTAATGATTAATATCTTATCAATTTGTTTAAATAGTTTTTCATATATAAAAAGATATAAAAAATAACAAAACAAAAGAAAACAACAAATGTGTATCAAGGGTTAAATCACTGGGTCGATTTTTCATTAGAATTTAGATTCAAAATGTTTTAAGTTAACTATTTCAAACAACTTATCTTATTGTTGCCAATATAATTTATTCTAACTTTGAAACAAATAATTAACAAACAATAAACATAAAATAAACAAAAAATAATCATATAAAATGATATAATAAACAAATAATAAACATATTTAAAAAAATACGAATCTAAGCAATATATTTCAAACATTTTCAACAAAATCTAGTAGATAACACACAAGCATTACATATATCATTTGATTAAAATGTCTCATTTAAAATCATTATCCAAGCCATAAATCAAGAATCAAACGGAGATACTTGCACTGGGAAGCATAAATATTCTGACTTTAAAACTACCGATGGGTTGTAAATATAAGTATATTCCCAGCTGAAAGTTGGGAATAAGTGTGATTACTGGTATTACCTTATTTATTTATTTTTTAAATTTTGTCAGCCCGATAGTGGCAACTCCCCAAGTTTATTGTCAGATACCGCTACATAAAGTATGCCAGTATGGCTGGACACCTGAGTACTAATCACTAACATCCAGCAAGATGGCCGGATGGTTTAATTTTATGTGAAACAATTTACTCAATATATCATTACAGAATTGCTATTCTGTAGAATATGATATAACATCTAACTTCTGATATAAAATATGTACTCTGTTTGCTTTTGCATCGGTCGTTACGAAAGAATATGAGATTGACAATTATTTTATTAACTGTTTACTGTAAAATACCTTTCTGGATATATTTACAGCCCACATTCTGTTAGACTTCAAGACGCCTCTGATTCACGTCTGCAATAAATACAAACATCAGTTAAATCTTTTAATTATATATATTTATCATAAAACATTATCGTTTTCTGTTTTTTCAGGGCGAGGACGGTATATATTGTTGTTCTTTGATTGCATGTTGGTTGTAGGAATATATTTTTGCACGGATATTCCAAGCGCTCTGCAGACACAAATTGAGACGCCACCAGACGACAATTGCACAGATGCGGGCGTCGCAAACGGAACATGTTGTGTTGATTGTCTCGGACTTGGTGCTGATCAGTATAACCTGTTGTATACAATATATTCCTGGACGTAAGTTAATCCTGCTATTAATAATATAACTTATAATTGCTTTTTTAATTCTGTTAAATATCAAGAGGCAATATCTTCTTATGAAATGTTGATGTACTAGTCTTTGAGGTCAAGGTTGGTGAACTGAAGTTATTTAATTCTGACATGTAAACAACAAAGGTAGACTATACATGTATATAAAGTAAAGTAGGAACTTCTCACGTTGTCTGACGGGTGGTCTAAGAGGACAATCTACTCAAGCATTTATAAAGAAGATTAATATATTGATATTCTGAAGTGTTTTATCAGCTTATTGAGGGCAAGATTAGCTCCATATTTACTATACACTTTCACGCTGGACAAATAAATGACCTTCCCTGTATCTTTCACTATAAGACTTTCTTTGTCTGGGTCACTGTACGAAATAATGCACCACCCACATTCTTATCGTTGATCGAAATTTTATACAACACTTTTTATCATGAACTTGACACCGTTCCTTATTTGAAGTTTATGTAATTAAGGATCGACTCAATGTCGTCATAATTTTAAATGAACTATATAATGCATAAATTACAAAACTAAAAGCAAATGTAATATTTTATGACCTTTCTATACAAACGTAGCTTGTTATCTTTTATAATAAGTCATTGAGTAAACTACTATCCTATTAAAAACAAAAATATGGTTACATAAAAGAACCAAAGATACACGACTTATATTGAAAATTCAAAGTCCAGTCGAATATTTTATTGGTTGAAAAATTGATATAACTCTAATGATTGAATATAGCCATAACAACTTTTTACAGGAGCTCCCTGATGATTCTGCCTGTTGGTTTTGTCATTGATCGTATGGGAAACAGGGGTATGTAGTCTTTAATATCTAATGTCCATGTATGAAAACAACTCCTTTTTTTTGTTCATTAAACTAGTTAAGTTGTTCCGATGCCGCAGCGGTACTATCATTACATAAATAACGTTCCTTCTTCTTAAAAATAAAAATATTTTTGCCATCTGAATTAAGACTGTTTTGCAATGTGACTAAAGTTCGATCTACTTATTTCTTAAATAATGCGTAGTGTTATTTAGGAGCCGATTTTAATCACATTGGACTGTTTTGTCTCTTCATGTTACGCAAAATTATCCGTACAGAAATGTAATATCTATAATCTTACTCTTAATTCCCTTTATGTTATAGTTTCTGCAGTGGTATTTACCGGGATAGCTTCAACTGGATCACTGTTATTTGCTATCAGCTCGTTACCAGGTATTCGGAATACCTCGTCAATGTTCCCACTCATGATGCTTGGTCGCCTTTTAATTGGAGCTGGCACCGGCTCATCTAGAAGTATGTTACTATAGTTATTATTGATCTCTTCATTTCTTCCATTTCTAAATTGTAGTTATGACGATTCGATCTATTTTACGCTTAATTTTCAAGTTATTTTGTACAATTTGGTGTGAACTAGCTATCTGTGGTTGCTTTTATTTAGTAGACATAAAATTTATTCTAAACGTATTTAATTTGATGCTTTAAGTAGCATGTGTGTTATAAAAATGATAAGTAGCTATATTCAATATTTTCATTATAGTTGTAAGAGATCGTGTAATATCTAGCTGGTTCCCAGATAGATTAGCGATGGCTTTTGGTATAGCTGTATCAACAATGGGCCTGGGCAGTGTGTTAACATTTCTACTTACCTCAAATATAGCTGCAGCCATTGGTCTGGGATCGACACTCTTTGTGGGTAAGTTTTACACTAACACGCCCAGACCAAATAATTCATAATTCGATAAATTCTCATCAATTAAAATTCAAAAATGCCCCCATCTAATTTCCGCCAATAACTTTGTAAAAAAAAAGCATCAGCGTCAGACGAAATCAACATAACAAATATTTAGTTATAAAGTTATGACAATTGTGATATATATTTATTTATCTTCTGTTTTATTTCTTAAGGGGCAGGAATATGTAGCACCTGTTTTGTATCTGCACTTTGTCTCTGTTATATGGACTGGTATGGTACAAAGTACCACGGAGGAACTAAAGTCATCATTAAAGAAAAGTCAGGCACCGTAAGTTATAAATAAAATCTTTTCATTTCATGTAAAAATTTAGCGTCATTTTAAATCAAAACAAACAAAAACAATATGCATTTATAAATTAACTACCAAGACTACTATTTTTGCATAGGATTTAGGCTGAGAATATTTTAAGACTTTTAAAAATATTATGGATTCAATCCTTTTAATAGAACTCTTATCCTTTTTAGAGCTTGAACACCATCAGAAAATTTCCGACGTCATTTTGGTTGATCAGTACAATGTTAGCTACATACTACAGCTTCCAACTTCCCTTTATTGCCAATGGCGGGTATGATCATTATTTCATTTGCTGTATAAAAATACAAATATTTTGCAAACATTTCTTACTATACGATCCATTATGGCTTCATTACAGTAAACAGCCACTGTCCAGTTATTTTCACGTTGTTCAGATCGCATGGTTGCATCACTTTCGAGTGGAATATATATACGTACAGACTGTAATGATTGTGAATCTGCCAATTTAAGTACATATACAATGTAACTTAAGATACAATAATTGCATTTTGTTACCTTTGATTATAAACAAAATTTTATTTTTTATTGTCAAGAATGCTTGTGTATATAAGTATAACTATCATTTCAGCAAATTCATCCAGGAAAAGTATGGATACTCGAAAACTCAATCTTCGTACGTTAACGGCGTTATCTTCGACGTGTCTGTTGTAATCTCCCCTTTCGTTGGTCTCATACTTGTAAGTTATTATCTCCCTTTTTCTTTGTGCATATATCGTCAATATACATGTATCTCAATTAATTAAAGTACAGTATAGTTTAACCAAGAAAAATACAAATTGTATGCAATCGATTTCTTTTTCATCCGATCATTATTACATTTGTGAATTTTTATTAATAATTACAGGACAGTGTTGGGAATCGAGGCTGGGTGGCGTTTATAGGGGCCTTCTTGACAATACCGATGGGTCCGGTGCTGCTGTTTACAGATATATCACCTATTGCCATCTATATCTGGCTTGGTGTCATGTTTACAATTACAGTTGTACGTATATAATATCACAAATAGTACAAAATATTGTATAATGTATTAAATAAATAAAATTGCCTTGAGGTACAAAAATATTGTCCCATTTAAAAAAAAAATCAATTAGGTACAATGCATTATACCTTTGTGATAAGCATGAAGATATTAATTCTTGAAGTGAAAATATTTGTCTGAAATGTCTACTTGTATTAAAAAACATAATGATTGATTGGCAATATTAACGACGATTTTACTTTTTATAAAACATGTGAATCTGTTTCTATGTGCAACATTAGGAATGTTGTTTTTTTCACGAACAAGTCAATTTGGTACTTTGGTAGTATTTAAAAGATTTATCAGATACATTCTTTGATACGAACAAACATAAACAAATTATATACTTGGTTTCAGGTTGCTTTATGGTCATCTATACCTCATGTCGTATCTCCTGTAGCTGTCGGGACAGCCAATGGTATCGCGTCTTGCATGCTTGATATGACTGTTGGAAGTACAAATCTTATTATTGGTCAGATAATGTCGAAAAATGACAGGTAGGTACAGTGTTTAAATCGATCATATGAAATATTTAAAGGCCTATAATGCCTAATGCTTTTAATTCTATTTCCCCCAAACTTCTTATTTTTGTAATCTTGTTAGTTTCCAAAATATACTCATTTGCCATTTAAATGAACTATCTTTTGCTACGTCTGCTCTCTTGGTAATTAGTATAATTATAGTGACTGAGTATTTTGTATGAAAGTCAAACTGCCATTTTGTTCACATTGTGCTACATTCAGCGCTAAGTACTGCCATTTAATATGCATTGTTAAAATATTACTAAACACGTTTGACCTGTCCAAAGAATTAATAAAATATGGATTTCTTCGGCATAATGTGCCTTTAAAGAAACAATGTATAAACGTTATTCAGTCTTGATTTTCAAATTAATTAAATATAAAGATCCATTATGATATATTGTTTTATACATGACATGACTGCATAGATATTAGGATTTTTTTTACGAATGTTTAACACAGAACTATTGTTTTTTGTTCAGATCAACAGATCTCACAATGACTAGCACATGGAAGTATGTGTTTCTGCTTATATTCGGATTCTCTGCTGTTTGTGCAATATGTGGTGTCTTGCTAAATACCTTATGTAAAGGAAAAGTATGTATCATTGTCTTTGTTTCTTATTTCTTACACTAAATATTACTACATGTATTATAATACATGTAGATATGCGATATTTTATTTCTACAAGATTTATATTCAGACAATGTGCATTAACCAAGTCTATATAATACAGCACCAATATTTTTTCCTGTTGAAAACACTCGGCAAGTTACATGTAATAGCACTAATATTGGGTTGTTTTATCCGAGATAATCGGGATGCTTCAGATGCATGTTTGTATATACTAATAAGTACAGCTTTACCGGTATATTTGACAAGCTGTCAGCCCGTGTTAAATATAGATAAAATAAAGATAAGATACACAATTACAATGTTTATGCTTCGTTGTATATTTCAGAATAATGTTATAAATGAAAAGTCCGGTTTGAAGAGAACACATAGCATAGGCGCTGTTCATGGCCCGACACCTACAGAATGCCATACCGAAATCAAGATACAACCGTCTCAGGACATTTATACAATATTCCCTGATATTGTCATTGAAAATAAGTCAACGTCAATCTGGAGAAAATATTCCAGCAAGAAGAAAACTGAATTTGATCACGAATACATTGAAAAGGAACTAGACCAAACTAACGAAATTAACAGCGAATATAACAAAGTAAATAGTATACAAAAAGACGTTTTCCTGTTGAAGTCTGACAACAAAGAGGAAAGTGACATGTCGCAGACAAACACGATTCGTGAAGAGAATCTCGAAATGAAATATAATTTTTTAGACACTCCCGATGTAATTGCACAAAATAAAGAAAATATCGTAAGAGAGAAAAATGGTTAAAATACATTAGAAGAACTTACCTCCGAGGGCATTAATTGAATTGCATAAAGATCCTAGCAAGATGTTGATTACAATTTGTGTCACAAGATCATAAAGATTGAAATAGCTGCACTACTAATCTATGTATCCGGATATACATCTGGCAAAAAACAATTGTTCAAATAGTGTGTGTGGTTCTTTTTGTAATGGAGTATTAGTAATAAAGGGCAGCGCACAAATAGTTCTATCACATGTTATTAATCATGTTTCATAACGAAGACAGCTTTAAACAATTAGTGGTTAAAAATCTGTTCAGACATGCGATGAATACATCTTCAGATTGCCATTCAAACAAGCTTTAGTACTAGCAGTTACACGGACTGTGCGCAGTGACAAGAATACAAAAAAGTCATGGAAGTTGAGTATTCTTTATCCTTTATCGTGCACTTGTTCTGAAGTTGAGCATTCTACTGTGATTAAAATTTGATATTGTTATATTACTGATGATAATACTAGTGCCAAATTATAATATAATTATGTTGACATAAAATATTAAAGACACATTAAGCCTCAGAAATGTATAAAATAAAATTTTACTACTTTAGAAAGAGAAAATGAGTTTTATAACGTTAAATGGTGGTTTTTGGGCATGTTATAGAAGCATATTACCTGAAGAAAGATGCTCTGTATCTAAAATTATTTGTCAATAAAGTAGCAAACTGTAAACAAAGTCAGACTTCCAGAAATATTAGATCACAATAACTGAACAAATTGCTTAAAAGCAACAAAGGCAAAGGATGGCCAACGAGTCAACTATAACAGGACAAAAAAAGGCTTTTGAGAAATAAAAATAACAGCATTTCTGGGGCATAATTGGCCTTTAACAGTTGTTTAAGGTGTATATAATTGTATATATTTTTTACTGTTGAAATGTTATGTATATAAACAATACACAAATAATAATTAAACGCTATATTTTTTGTGCCTTCAAACAACACCAGCCCAGAGTGCTAGTGTGGATCACACAAGGGCAACATAACTTAACAGGGTTCCAAATCTCTATTACATGTATATCACTTTATTTCAACCTGTTTATGAACTACACTGGAAATGCAATATAAAACGAAAAACTGACCAAACAAATTTTATTTTCAGTATTAATGCTCCCGTAAGAACAGAAAATTGTTAACATTAAAATAAATAAGATAAATAAGATATTTTTTGAAGCTGCCGAATATCATTTGGCAGTAAGCTAGCCTTGCTATTCAACAACAATGAGCAAGGACTTTTTTCTCATTTTAGCAGTCAGTTTTTTTGGACAATATAATTAAGCAAAAATAATATTCCTTAAGGAGATATTTTCTTACTTTATGCTCTTCATATATTTGATATAATCTTAATTAAGTTCAAGGTGTTTTTTATGTCCTTTCAAAATTCACTGTGATGGGACATTGTTACGTTATCCTATGTAATCCTAGGCAAACAATAATCCCGAATAAAATTTGCATATACAGGGGCATAACTATTATTAACGACCTAATAACAGAAACGAGAGTGATCAGTGATCACATTGTGTCATCTGATGACAATTGCATGTTGTAGCTACTGAGAAGCAGGGACACAAAAAACGAATCAAGGCGCATAACTCAGCCAAAATCATTCAACCTAAACAACCTGTGTAATATGCACAACTACTTGAGCTATTGATCAATCCTGTAAAAATTCACTGAAATTGAATTAAGTGTTCTGGACAAAATTTAAAAATAAAATCATGAAAGGGCCATAACTTGGAGAAAAAAAATCATTGAACAGGAAACTGCTGACCATATGCACAGCTAAACTTGGTACTGATCATTCCTGTAAAATTTGGATGAAATTGCACCAGTTGTTTTTTGAGGAGTAGTCCTGTCAAGTTTAGTGAATGACGGACAGACAGATGGACAGAGAAGTGATCCTTATATGTCACAGCTACTCTGTAGCAGGCAACACAAAAATTAAACTGTGTTTTGATTATATACTTACATGCTTAATATAAACACAATCATTGAAATCCCTCAAAAGTTATAATGCAGAAACAGAATGTCTACCGACAGATGGGTGGATGACAAATAGGTACTTATATACTTACTCAATTGTTCTGCCAATAGTTCTTTTAACCATATAAACATCTTACTGAATAATTAGAATCAAAATATTTAATGTTACAGAAATCATCCTTATCAGCATAAAATTTCACTAACATTGAACTTTACCTACTGAACAATTATTCAGTTTCATTTCAAACTAAAGATACGGTTAATGGCAAACATTTTAATTGAATATGTCTTGGGGTAAATATTAAGGTATAATGTAGATATTCATACATATCTAGTGAAGACCTTGAAATCTGTATATTCATTTCGTTTATTCTGACAATCAACAATAAACAAACCTTAAGTAGAATCATTTTAAACTACACATTATTAAAAGTCAGTTTTAGTCATATTTCTATCAACTGTCTCATCAAATTTTGGGTCCTGTTCCACTCGAGATTTTCTCCAAAAGTCGAACTTTGTCTTCTTTGATGTTTGTGTCACAGGTTGGCTGCTTGCTTCTCTGGGACTCAAACTGTAAATGGTACAGGTTAAAGTTGAACAAGAGATGTTTTGTAAAACATGAAATTTCTCACAAATGGTTAACTAATTTGTCATGTTTCTAACCTACCCACTAAATTTTTGAAGGTCAATGACATGTCATAAACATGTTTGTTTTTTAAATAAATAAATTCAAGTATTTATAAAACATGTAAAGTCTTTTTCTTACATTTTTAATATTTATTTCCAGTTTCAAGAAATTTTCTGGACATATCTTACACATATTTTTTGCTGAATAATATAACTTGCTTTTGTGAAATCATGGAAAATTTTAGTTATTGCAGCATACAGCTAATTTATTGATGTATGAATAAAATTAGTGTGACCATTTATGAATTTCAAGCACTGTTGGAGCATCACACTATATAAGCCCGCGGATAAGGTCTGGGGATCCATGCTAGTCGCAAACCCATTATGTTGGCTTTGGTGTGACACGGCTCATATGATGTATTCTGGTACATTCCGGAAGAGAGCCTTAATGCTTTACATGCTAAAATCTTGCCTTTTTATCCACCAAAAATGCACTTTAAGACAGCTAATGTATCTCTCATATCAATTAAATATATACAATCATGATTAAAAATGTAAGAAATCACCTAATAAAGCAATATTTTATCTGCTTAGTGATCATGATTTCTGTCAAGGGTCTAGAGGTACTGATCCAACACCATATTAAGGGTTAAAATCCAATATAAATAAACAGTAAAAGTGATCAAAAGAAAAAAAATATAGTAGTGACCAAAGATAAGTACCTGTGTGAGATCTATATTTGGTGTAGTTTCACAGACCATAGCTAGCACCATTACAACCCATATTTCACCATGACGATATAGATACTACCAGCAGCTAGCATTCAAAAGCGACTCCTCATAGTATCCTAGTATGATAGTTAGTCCCACAGCTTGAACAAAACACAACACTAGGTTACAAACAATCTGAAACAAACAAGATAATTATTTACCTTTGTCTCATCTGGGAGATAAGCAGAATTAGTGAACCATTATTCTGCAGGGCTTGGATAAAACATCGAAATCCAAATCCGATTTGAAACTTTATCATGGTCGGTAAAATGTTTACCGCGAATTTCAATGACACTCTTTTATTGCTGATACCTGCAATACTATTTTGTAAGAGATTGATTGTTTTTGTTCGGGCGTTTGCGAGAAAAAAACGCCAAAATATGATAGGCAAATTTATGAATTGGATGTAATTGTTTTGATCAAATCAATTATATAAAAAAACTTTACGGATATGTCGTGCAAATATATCTGACGTCAAAGTGGCACAACGTCACGCTAAGTAGAAAACGTTTCGTGAAATAAACTGAGAATTTCTTATTTAATAAATTTAGCAAAACATTATTTTCTAACTAATTCAATAAATTCAATATAGAACCTATACTCATTCATTATTCTCTTTTATGAATTTTCTTGTAATGAGCGACCAGATTGTATAAACACAGGCTCATCTCATCTGGGTGTAAGCTAGTCGCAATCACTTGTCGTTTTGTTATTTGTTTGGGTCGTCTAGCTTTAATGATTTCAGACGGGTTCTCGGACATGGATAAAACATCGAAATCCAAATCCGATTTGAAACTTTATCATGGTCGGTAAAATGTTTACCGCGAATTTCAATGACACTCTTTTATTGCTGATACCTGCAATACTATTTTGTAAGAGATTGATTGTTTTTGTTGGGGCGTTTGCGAGAAAAAAAAACGCCAAAATATGATAGGCAAATTTATGAATTGGATGTAATTGTTTTGATCAAATCAATTATATAAAAAAACTTTACAGATATGTCGTGCAAATATATCTGACGTCATAGTGGCACAACGTCACGCTAAATAGAAAACGTTTCGTGAAATAAACTGGGAATTTCTTATTTAATAAATTTAGCAAAACATTATTTTCTAACTAATTCAATAAATTCAATATTGAACCAATACTCATTCATTATTCTCTTTATGAATTTTTTTGTAAGGAGCGACCAGCATTGTATAAACACAGGCTCTCTCATCTGGGTGTAAAGCTAGTCGCAAATCACTTTTGTCGTCTTTGTATTTGTTTTGGGTCGTCAGACCAAAACAAATAATTGGTAGCGAAATTTCAGACTCTAATTTGATGTTAATTGCAAGTGCCGCAAAGTTAGTCCGCTTTTTTTAAGCGGTTACTTCCCTTTATCATGTAAACTAACGACCGAAAAATTCAGGAGAGATCACTGCGTAAAGATGGTCAAATGACAGGCGCATTAATTTTCAAGCAAAATAATTCCCGAATGGTAGCGTATAGTAGCGTATGAACTTACAACTTCATTCATAATGGTTAAGTGACGTCATCCTAAGAACGCAATTCATTCATAAAAGGCGCGCAGCAGTGACGTCATTTTAAAAGCACGAGAAGGGTTTTCTAGCACCGCAAAACGGTAGAAATCCTGTTGATAGCAAGAATTATACGTTTTCTTAGGCTGTTAACAAACAACTTACCGTGGCCGTGGGGGTTCGCGCTCGCTTAGGAAGCGAGAGGTCTAGAGTTCAAATCCCAGTTAAGGCAACTCATTTTTTTTCTAATTGTTTAAGTCAAATAAACATTGGATTGAATATCAGTGTTTAAAATTAGTCTTATAGCAATTTACTACAAATTAAGACGCTGGTAAGCATTGGGTGGCACTTTACAAAAACAAATTGGTTTATAATCTCACAACCTTCACCTTTCTGACATTCTGAGACCCAAACAAATTTCAGCGCCTTCTGTGCTTTGATTTATGTTTGACGTGGTTTCCCAATATATTAAGATTTTCTTATCCAGTAATTTGTTAAAGTAATTTGAAAAGAAAATATATCAAGTCTTCCGTACCATTTTAAACATTTTTGCTCTGGTGAATGCATTTCTTCTTTCTGATAAGGGGAATAAACCATAATTATCGCACAACACTGGCGAAATTAATGTCAGAAGAAAACAATACACAAAATTTGCATTTTATACAAAAATATTCTCAAACTATAAACTTGGTATATTTACAACGAATATCTATTATGCCACCAGCTAGAAAGATATTGATACCCCGATGGAGCAGCATTGTTTCAATAATTTATTTCTGAGATGACAAATATCTATCATTTCCTAATACAAATAATTTGATTATCAGCTGACTGGACAAATTGAAACCACCAAGGTAGAAAAATCGCCGTACCGTTATCATTGATATTTTTATGCGCCTACGTTATCATTTCCGGAAAA